TAATTTATCGGAAACTTGATAATAATTTAATTTTATGAAATTACAGGAATCTATGAGACTCATAGTGGCTGAAAGACTTTATCGCTTGTGTCCTACTACTGAATATCGTGATATGCCTCTTATTGAGATTAACAAGTGCATCGATAAGGTAAATCAACAAATTGAAATCCTTAAATAAGGTCTTATAATTCGATTTTGGTTAACTTGCATTTGATATATATATATATATTTTAATTTGAATTATCTTGCACTAGTTTCGTAAAAAAAATCCATCCTTCCCAGTAACAGTCAGTGATTGGGCAGAACGTGAGATGATTCGTCGCCATGTCAATTATAGACGTAAACTTAATTTATCTTATTGTTATTATTATTCTATATTAAACTTATCAATAACCATCTTTTAAAACTTACAGGCTCAGTGCTTAATATCAATGAGATCTCTGAAACACAAGATACAACCGTTTCTACTAATAATAGAATCAAAGCCCGTAAACCGAACGGCAATAGTAAAAGAGCTAAAAAAGGAAAGCATGTTAATCATAATACGATCGACACTGATGAAAGCGATACAAATTTATCAGAAAAAAATATTGGTAAGTTTGTTTATTCTATTATTCTATATTATATTAAACTTGTCAGTGACTATCTTTTAAAACTTATAGGATTGGCACTTAATGTTCGCGAGATGCCCAAAATTCAAGATACAACTTCTTCCACTAATAATAGAACTAGTAAACCGAGTAGGAAAAAAGCTAAAAAAGGAAAACAAGTCGATCACAATGCACCTGCTAATGTTGATGAAAGTGATCCGAACAACAATAGTAAAGGTACTAAAAAAGGAAAACAAGTTGATCATAATACACCTATCGATGTTGATGAAAGTGATCCGAATGACGCTAAAAAAGGAAAACAATTCGATTACAATGCACCTATCAATGTTGATGAAAGCGATCCAAATTTATCAGAAAAAGATATTGGTAATTGTTATCTTATTATTATTATTCTACATCGTATTAAACTTGCAATGATTATTTTTAAAACTTGTAGGGCTAACACTTAATGTTGGTGAGATTGAAATGCTCAAAACTCAAGATACAACTGCTCGCACTAATAGTAGAACCGGAGTCCGTAAACTTAAATATAGAAAACATGTTGATCATAATGCATCTATCGATGTTAATGAAAGTGATTCAAACAACAATAGTAAAAGAGCTACAAAAGGAACCCGTGCCAATCACAATTCACCTATCGATTTTAATGAATGCGATACAAATTTATCAGAAAAAAATATTGGTAAGTTGTTTATCTTATTATTATTCTACATATTAAACTTGTCAGTGACGGTCTTTTAAAACATGTAGGATCAGCAATTAATGTTGGTGAGATTACTAATAATAGAGTAAAAGACCGCAAACCTAAGAAAGGAAGAAATCTTGAAAGTTCAAAAAAACTTGATAAAGATCTGCAAAGTAAGTGGGTCTAAATTTTAAATAAATATTGGCATGCATATATAAGGTTCTATAAATATTATAGAGCTAGTGTGATAAATCGAGATCGGGTGATTTTTATAATTCAAGGCATAATAAGTAGCTGTGCAACGTTGTCAACGATCCTTATTGTGTAATGAAGATTATACAATTACTATATTCAAGATTTGTGTATGAAAAAAAAACTTGAACTTAACTATACATTTCGCTCTACTATGTCACTGGGTTTACTCAATCTCAATAGATTACAAGATATTGATTTATCACTTGCACCGCAATATCTACGGCACTTTTATACTACCATAAATTGACAAAAAATATTGGCATATTCTTAGCTTATCCAAGGCGTTCAAGTCGCAAGCGTAAAGTAACACAATAATTAATAATTACTTGTCTTTTTTCAAGGAAGTATACTTTAAATAAAGAATTATAAATGTAAGTTGACAAATTTAATTAATATTTATTTATATCTACAGTAGCTATATTCTAATATATTTTTTGCATTCAAATATATATATATATTATAATAATATCTATTTAACATATGTAGTATATATTTGCTGCAAAATTAACTCATATTTAATATGTAAAGTTTATATATGTAAAACAAAAATAAAAATAAAAATATAAATTTGTTCTGATTTCTAAATAAAATTATTCCATATTTATTACAAATTGTCTATAAAAACTATATAAATGGATGCTCATAATTGTATAAAAATTGTTATATTAATTTAATTTACAAATTTTATACAAAAAT